TAATCCTGGACGCTAATCCGAGCTCTATATCCGCCTTGGCCTTCCTAACAGCCCGCCTGCAGGCCCGAGCAGAGGAGGTATACTCCTCTTTGGAGATTACACCCCCCTTCCACCGGGCGTACGCCACCCTTTTGGCAAGCAGGCATTCCCGGACACCCTTGGTGAGCCAGGGGGGCTTTTGGACACTCCTGCCCGCCTTGCTTCTTGTCGGGATGGACACCCCTTGGGCCCCGAGTATCGTTTCCTTAAGGAACGACCACTCCTCTTGGACGCTGAGTTCCTCTGCCCTCAAGGACCCCAGTTCCTCTCCCACTAATCTCCTCATCTCACTGAAGTTGGCCCTCCTGAAGTCTAGGGCTACCACCTTGCTGCGGGCCCTTGACACTACGCTGGATGGTGAATTCCAGCACGTGATGATCACTATTGCCCAGGTGGTCAAGAACCTGGAGGCCTCTTACCAGGCCTGTCTTTGTCCTGTCTCCCATAGCACGGACCGTAGCCATCATGCGGTATGCTATTTAATACAGAGAGCTGTCTGTATAAGGCAAAGGGGAGGGTGGATCCCTGCCTGAGCAGGGAGTGGTGAGGGGGAGGAAAGGGAGCAGGAAGAAGCCAGGCAGATGCTGCTGTACCTGCATTCTCTGCCAGAGCTCCAACCAGGGAGCAGGGCCAGTTCTGCTGGGCTGGAGCAGACAGCAGAACCCTGCCCCGGGTTGCAAAGCATCTGGAAGGCTGGGGGACTCTGGTTTAATGTAAACTAGGAAGGCATTGCATAAACTGGTTTGACCCAAATCAGTTAAGTCTGATAAACCTGGTTGAATGTAGTATCTCAAACTGGTTTCAGCCATTTTCAAACTTGTTTATGTGCACTGAACTTCTGTTCTGCTACAGGTTTAAATCAGTTTCTGATCACTTAAACCAGTTTACATGTAATGTCTGTCCCTAGCCTCATAGTCTAAGTTCAGTGAAAGATGACTCGGGAAGTAGAAGACAGTGATAATGTGATTTCTATACCCTACCAATCTTCAAAAGTAAAGCAAATTCTAGGAAGTCTAGACTCAAATCTAGTCAAAATTAAAAATCTGTGGATTTTTTTTAAAACTCTGACCTCAGTTTGTTGTATTAGCACATACAGCATGAAGGGGTACTGTAAACCCACCCAAATACCTACAAAAATAATCAGATACCAAAAAGATTTATGCAAGCCATTCTGGCTTTCATCAGAAAGAAATGGAAGATCTTGTTTCTTACTGTGAATGGTCATTATAATAACCTAATTCTATGAAAACACTATTCACTTCTCTGGTCCCTTCCTTATTCAAATGTATAAGCAGAATTAAGGTTGCATGGGACTTTCTCAGCCTGGTATTTCATAGGACTGAAAGGGAACTTCCAGGTAACACAGTCTAGTCCTCACCCCACTATGCAACCATGTCATATAATCACCTCCATAAAATTCAGAGTGCTTGAGCCTTGCTTCAGCCTAAATAACCCTTTAAGATGATTTATATCCATGCATACACAAACAAAAACCCCACAATCCTTAAAAGGAATGTCAAAATAAACTATTACAAGGTGCATGAGCTACTGCTAACAAACTGTCTTTTCTGCTTTTGAGTAACTGAGACAAGCCTGAGACCGAGACATGCAGTATTCTGTACTGTTCTGATTCAAAACAACTTCAGTGTCATAGAAGCTACGGGCCTTTTTACCAGGTATGGACACTAAGACATGTTTGACCTTAACTATAAGCAAGTTTATTGAACCTTAACAGTTACAATTCTAAGTCAAAAGCAAAACAACTATAGCAGTTACAATTCTAATACTAAAGCTAGTAAAAAGTAATACAACAATATATCGCGGGGTGGTAAGCATGTTGTAAGTGCCAAAGTTAAGAACCCAAGCTCACAGGGTTCTGGGTCCCAACAACTAGTTGTTGTGGCTATCACTGCAGACAGAAAAAGAAGGAATGGGTGGTTATAAACTTAGATATAAACTAAGAAGTTGGAAAAAATGAAAACAAAAAGAAAAAAATGGCAAGATGTTAATATTGAATGGAAATGAGACATCTGGAACTGCTGGAAGAGAAACCTTTCATAATGCAGAGGAGATTGAATCAGTGAATAGAGTTAATGTGCAGGTTCACCAAAGTGATTTTTTTCTTTATCTGTAGCCCAAAGCTTGAATTTCTGTTTTTACTTTCTTTTTGAATTTCACTGTTATAGGAGTCTTAATATGTATCAATCAAATAGTCTCAATAAAATCAACTGCTTGCTTATACCTCTTCATAGAATTGGTACATTCTACTCTCCTGTGATTCCAACTTCACCCCAAAGCACTGAAAGTTTTAACCAAAAAAAGGGTTTTTTGGCCACTTAAGATGAGTTTAGAAGGAGACCATGATAGAAGCCATTACACAACCTTAACACAAATGCAATTACTAGAGTGAAAAGCAGCAAGAATGCAGAAGATGCTAAGTTAACTTTTGCTCAAGGACACAGGTAGAAACCAAGTCTAATAAAGGAGTGAGAATGCCTAATTACTGGGCACCAAATTTTTGGGTACCTGGCCATAACTGCTGTTAGCTATTAATCCAATGACTATTTAACATAAAAATGTATGTGTGGTGGTATTAGGGACTGTAACCTAGGACTCTGCATCCTTCCAGCCAGCCGGGTGAATGCCCTAGCCATGAGACCAGAGCGAGGCTTTCTTGCTTGCTCCCGTTTTGGCCTTAGGAATCTTGAATTTTTATTTGCATTGTGGCCTAGAGTCAACAGAAATCCATCCCCATCCAGTCTAATCATGTAGCTTGGTGCTTTAGGGCAGCCCTCTGGAAGTTGGTGGGTGTAGGTTTAAAACCTTGTAGGTGGCGGAGAAATTAAACACTGGTCTCTCACTTCTGGACAAGTGCTCTCAGCACAAGGCTATATTATATGTGTGCACCAGCACTTACACCACTTTACCCTGTGATGACTGCGTTTTTTAATAAAAGTAGCCATAGCTGCTGTATTTTGCATTCAATTGAATGCTGAGTCCTCCCCTCAGAGGCTCCATTTCCATCACAATGGGATCTAAGCACTGTTTAACCCTCATTCTCTGTAACAAGTGTGTGCAGATGGCAAAACACCAGGTGCCTAGGAAACATATCTAAGAAAGAGGCACCCAGTGAGGCAGGGCATTTCCAGGGTTACCCGCTGCTGAGCCAGATCTCTTTTTGGATCATGTTTGGACATAAAGTCCAAATAAATTCTGGTCTAAAAAAAACTTTTTGTATATGGCCTCTGGTCCTTTAAACACCATGGAATATTAGAAGTGCATAAAATTTAGTTCAGACCTTTTATTGTCTTACAGTAAGAAAAGGCTTGCAAGTGCAAACTTATGCAAACATGCTTTGCCACTCTT